TTTACATGCATTTTTAATCTATTAATTATATAAATATAGATTGAAAATGTGTCAAAAGTTTACTTTTGTTAATAATATAATTAACATAACTAAACTAATTAACCTAAAAATTGTATGTACATACCACAACAGGCTCGTGGCTCTTCGAGACTTGACTGGAACATGCTTCACTGTCTTTTGACATATTGTAATTTTAATCTTGAGCACAGCTTGTATTTCACTCTGTTGTATTATTATTGTTACATCCGATTATAATTAATCGTCGTAGGACCACGTGCGCTTCGACCACGCCGGTTAATTTGCCAACACGGGGTCTGTTCTTTATTCCTGCACTGCTGAACTGGCAATAAGTTAAAGTGAGAAAACATGTTGTGTCTCACTTTAACTTATAGCAACAGTTCAGCAGTGCAGGAATAAAGAACAGATCCATGAACAAATAAAACATCAGTGTCGGCAACCTATCTAATTGCGATATTTCACTTAAAATATTTATTTCATTATTATTTTGTACATTATGCACAAAACATAACTTCGGAATATTCCAAAATACATATTAATTGAGATATTCCATTTGAAATATTTATTTTACTATTATTTTGTAAATATACCTAAAACGATAACTTTGGAATGTTTTAAATACATATCAATTGAGATATTTCATTTGAAATATTTATTTTACTATTATTTTGTAAATATACCTAAAACGATAACTTTGGAATGTTTTAAATACATATCAATTGAGATATTTCATTTGAAATATTTTTAATATATACTATAATAAAATTTTTCAATTGTAACATTTATGAATTATATCAGAAACAAGTACGTAAAATGTATCATTTGAAACCTAAATGAAACAATTTGAAACATTTCATGTATATTTCATGTTTAGTGGGTTACGGAGCGCTTGCCTAACATGGCAATTATGGATAAAGGCACTTTCAAGATTCCACAAAATCTACCATTGGCGGATCCAGAATTTTATCGATCTACAGATATAAACATATTACTAGGCGCTGAGATGTTTTGGAATACACTCTGCTTCGGCCAAATTAAGGAATCATCAGAGCATATTTTACTTCAAAAAACATTGTTTGGCTGGGTAATAGGTGGCATGTATCCAAGCAATTCGGCATCACAAGGAACAGTACAATGTAATCTCTCAGTGAACCGCATTAACTTGGAACAAACTATCGAAAGATTCTAGCAAACGGAACAAGTTTTGGTCAAGCCAACGCTTACAGCTAAAGAACGAAAATGTGAAGAACAATTCACCAAAATTCAACGCCGAACGGAGCTAGGCAGATTCATAGTGCAACTGCCAATCAAGGTAGACAAGCTGCAAACATTAGGACGATCTTACGGCATAGCGTTAAAACGGTTCTATTTATTGGAGCGCAAGCTGAATCGTCACCCGGAGATGAAAAGGGAATATGCACGATTTATAAAAGAATATTTAGAGCTCGGACACATACATCCTGTTACTTTAGAAGCTCAAAAGGCAGTTCCGGTTTATTAGATGCCACATCATGCGGTATTTAAGGATAACAGCTCTACCACAAAAATTCATGTCGTATTCGACGCTACGTGCAAAACAGATACAGGAGTATCACTCAATGATATTCTGGTGGTAGGGCCAACGCTGCAGCAAGATCTCATTTCCATCCTGATCAAGTTTCGCATTTGGCAGTACGTCTTGACAGGAGATGTGGCCAAAATGTATCGGCAGGTCTTAGTCAATGAATTTCAACGAAGGTTACAGAGGATTTTAAGGCGCAACAGCGCTGAGGAAGAAGTGAAGATCTTTGAGTTAGTCACCGTCACCTATGGTACTGCGTCGGCATCATTCCTTGCGGTACGCTTTTTACAGGAAATAGCAATGTTAGAGCAAAACAATATACCGATAGGAGCCGCAAGGGTTTTATCGGACTTCTATATTGACGGCCTTTTAACGGGTGCCAATACGATTCAAGATTTCACAATACGAAATAAAGTTAATGCGATACTATGTAAAGCAGGTTTTCTGCTATGCAAATGGGCATCAAACGAGCGAGCTGGATGGCATACCTGCATCATCATCGGACTATATCCGAAACATCAACGAGGATGCAAATTTGGCCACGTTTGGTTTGCAATGGAATTCACAGAGTGATACATTTCAATTCAGCATTGCTTTGACTAAACAATTTAAGATTATGAAGAGAAACATACTCTCTTCTATTGCGCATATTTTCGATCTCTTAGGGATTCTAGGGCCTATTAGAAGACACGGTAGTGGCTTGGTGTCAAGTGTTTAAAAAACTATAAATAAAATATAATATAAAATATATGTGTGTGTATAAAAATGATATGTTATATATGTCAAGCCATGTCGGATCAAGCCATGCCGGGTCTCTTAACGCGAGCCGTCGCGTTGCGAGCACCCGAGATTTTGAGATCTCAATAACGATCGAACCGATTAAGTTGTAACGAAACACATTTCGCTCCCACGTGCGCGAACCGGTCTCTCATCGCTCGGGTATCTCCGGCGAGTGACCGAGCGATAACGGGAATCCGACCCCACCACGCCATCGGAGGTGGGGAGCCTGCACACGCGACCGACACGACAGCCAGGTATATAAGCCGGCCGCGAGCGTTCCGAAAGGGATTCAGCCACAGGTCCCGTCCGCAACCGACCGCTCCGATCTCGGGATCTCCCGGATCTCGCCAGCCGTCACGATTGTTCCTGTAGAATTTTTATTTTAATAATTGCTATTTATTGCAAATGGGTTGATATAGCATGGTAGCATTCAAATTTAAAATCCTTTCTCTGGATTCGTATTCAGTAATATACTACTCATGAAGTGATACAGTTTTACTTTAATCATATGTTCACATTTACATGGTTTGAGCTTGCGCTGGCATCTCGGAAGAAAAACTGGCGAAGTATTAAGAATAATATATGGATTGTGGGATAAGACCGAGAATATTCTTATGATTTTTTTACTGATTATTTCATTATTATTTTACATAAACGTCTTCGAACTGCACAACATAACTGAGTTGTTACGGCTATTTAAATTAAAGGTTAGTTTATATCATATTTATTTTATATCATCTAGACGTCTGATAAATCTTTATGTACCAATTTACAATAAAAAAAATTGTGGACAGCGTTACGATTGTTCCTGTAGAATTTTTATTTTATAATTGCCATTTATTGCAAATGGGTTGATATATGTAGCATTCAAATTTAAAATCCTTTCTCTGGATTCGTATTTAGTAATATACTACTCGTGAAGTGATACAGTTCTACTTTAATCATATGTTCACACGTGTTCGGATAAACTGAGTATTAATTTCCTTTTTATTTAGGCATTTACATCGTTTGAGCTTGCGCTGGCATCTCGGAAGAAAAACTGGCGAAGTATTAAGAATCATGGATTGTGGGATAAGACCGAGGGTATAAGACACTTCACTTCACGATCATCTATGTACACGCAGATGTATATATGCAGCATAGACAATGCAAAACAGAAAACGTTCTTTGTGTTAAATTTGTTTAATCCGGTGTGCCCATTTCGAGTGCCGAGTGTATTTTTCGTGTATTATTGCCGCGTCCTTTTACTCCGTATTTACACATTACGTTATTTAATTTGTTATTATATTATATATGCATCGTTAAATTTTTGTCATTTAATATTACTAATTGTACAGCACTATTTTGAAGCATATAACAACGCTATTTATAAAAGTGTTAAATGTAAATTTAATAAATATTAAAAATTTAGCGAAATATTTTTTCGAAGAATCCATTTAATTGCAAATTCAATGCTAATTGGTTGGAACATATAGAAAGTAGTAAAAAAAAGTAGAAAGAAGTTAATTTACATTGCAATGTAAATTAACTTCTTTCAATAAACCTGGAGAGACTAAATGAGCGAAAATACAATATAAAATATTAGCAGACATTAAAAAAAATGTTTTTCCTAATTTTCAGTTATGTTAAAATCTCTCAAAAATCTTGCGCATATTTTCTAGATATTGTATAAATTAATGAAATATTACATCATGAATTATTAATAACAAATATAACGAATAATTTTATATTTTTTGGTTTACAAGGTTGACTCAGTTTCAAGGTAGATATAAAAGGCAGATATAAAAGTGAACTGTCATTGTTTGCTCGCGGTTCTCAAGTTCTCACGAGCGTTGGACTTATACCGCATCATGGTAAAAAAATCGCAAGATATATATTTTTCTTATAACCACGTTAGAATATTCACGAAAATTAATGCTAAAAAGACCTCGTGGATCTCTCGCTTTCACGGCTAATAAAAAGAAAAAAATATCTACAGAAATGATAATTCATGAAAAAGAGAACAAAAATTCAAAAATTGAAATAAAATTAAAAAAAATCTATAAATGAAACAAAGCGCACAATAAGTGTTGTAAAATAAAAAGAATAAAAGATTATTTCAATTATTTTTTTTCATCAACATACTTCTTTTCTTGCATATTATTTTAGTGAAAGATATTGTGGGCCTTTCGTCGTGCGGAAATCGCGCGGTTGGAGGAGACCCGAAAGGATGAGAGCGCGAAACACGGACACAAGTACAAATAAGTAGGCCGACGATTCGGTAGCACCGCTTTATTAACTTAAAGAGCAATACAATATGTGAAAATTGAACGATCGCGAAGACGCGCGCGAGGACTCCGTCCCGATCTGCACAGAGACTTCGCGGAGATGTGACGAGAATCTCGGAA